CAGCCCTGGGAGTCAGCAGGTGCGCGCGTGGCCCACAGCCTGCGGGTGCCGGGCCTGGGGCTGGCCAAGTGCATGCACCTGTGGGTGTGCAGGAGAGACGGGGTGACTGGGGGGCACGGCACCAATGAACCCCTTGTACGCGCACAATTGGTGGAGGAGAAATTCAAGCCCCAAACCCCCAATGCCAGGGCTCCCCCAGCACCATGTTCCTTGCTCCCCTTCACCGCCTGTCTTCTAGAAGCCCCCAGACCCGCCAGCCCCCGCTCCAGGCCACGCCCCTCGACCACCATGTCCCTCCACCCTGCTCTGCCCGTGCCATGTCAAGGTCATCAGTAGCCCGGGTGTCGCTGCATCCTGATCCTCATCTGACCCAGCTCAGCGGCGTAGACAAGGGTGTCCTGGATATACATCCCGGGACAGCAGGGCCAGGCCCACCCATCCCCCTGGGCCCCTCCCCACGGCTCTGCGCACGGAGGCTGCTGCCCACTTCCCTGGCCTCTCCTCCCTGTCCACACTCCCTGGCCATCTCCCCTGGCCGGGGCGAGTGTCTCCACACTCACCTGTCCTCATGGGCCTCCCCAGGGTATGTAACCAGTGTGTCCAAAAACTCCAACATCCAGAGTCCACTACTGACCTCCCAGAGACCTGCCACGTCACAGTGATGGGGACCCGCCTTCTGGCTGGGCCGGAGCCGTGGGGCCATCCTCGACTCACATCCAGCTTATCAGCAAAACCAAGCAGCACCTTCAGCTGTGCCCGGAGTCCCCTGTCGCCCCGCCTGCTGGACCGCCACACGCACACGCACACGCACAGCCGTCTCGTCTGCCCTGTCCTCCGCCTCCGCTCACCGGAGACACGTCCCAAAGCCTGTCCCCAGGCCCTGGCCTCCCTGGCCCAGCCCTGGGCTGGGGCTGGAGACTTGGGCAGGAAGCCGGGCCAGGCGGGGCGGGCCGCCTCCCTCCTCAGCCGAGGCCCCGCCCTGGCCAGCACCATTCACCCCACGGGGTTCCGGCTCGGCCCTCAGACTGCCCAGGGCAGGAGCAGGAGTGTCCATGCTGCTCCCCAGGGCTCCCGTGTGCCTCACTCAGGCGGGCTCAGAGGCAGAGGCTGTGTCCCCTGAGCCCCACTGGGTCTTCTGAGAGACCAGCTTGAAACTGGGGGGTGCCTCCCTCCGGGGGCCATGCTCTAAGACGGCGGGGGGTGGGGTGACCGTTGGGAGTTCCTCACCTATGAAGCTGGAGGCAGGCAGCCCTCCTGCGGGTCTTTGGCGGGATAACAGAACAGCTCCAGGGTCAGTCCAACCTGGGCCTGCCGCCGCCGCCCCCCTCTCTGCTCAGTGGGGCCAGCAGGGAGTCGGGCACAAGCTCGACCCCCTCAGAGGCCCCCAACCCCCGCTGCCGCCCCCACCCCTCAGCCTGCGGTGGCACGGCCATCCCCAAGGTAAAGTCAGGCGGCAGCCCGTCCCAGGCCTGGAGGCGGCTGGGCTGTCACCCTGGAAAACAACTTGGCTGCTGGCCAGGGCGTGGCCCCCAGAGGGGCTGTACCTCCCGAGTGGAGAAAGCCCTAATCCCGGGATCTGGGTGGAGGGGCCAGGCCCGACTCAGCAGCGCAGGGCCGGCGCCCTGTTGTTTCAGGCGGAATTTCTGAGCCTCCTCCGTGCCGTGTGCTGGCCCTGGCAAGCCTGCAACTCAGGCGGCGGGACGGGGTCACAAGCTCCGTGTCTAAACCCGGCCTGGCCCGGCCAGGGAGCTGGACGAGGACCTTCCCTCCCAAACTCTCGCCTGGGGCAGCTGGGCCCAGCCGGGCGCTGGTACGCCGGGACCTGTGGTGCACGAGCCGCCAGCGGCCCTGTGCTCCCCCTCCGGGACGTGGCCAGGCGCCGGCCGCTGCTGACAGTGGCATTTCCAGCCACAGCTCAGCAGGATGACCGGCACGCTGGCAGGCAGCTTCTCGAAGCAGGACCCGGCTGGGGTGCCATCTGCTCCCCAGCACCCAGCGCAGGGCTCGGCGGGAACCCGGGAAGCTCTCGTCGGATGAACAAGACATTCAAGGGAGGGTGACTCGGGAGGCAGGGCCCCCGCCAGCCTCGCCCGACTCCCTGGCCCACTCGTGACCGGGGCCCCTGAGGGCTGAGGTCCCGGCCGCCTCGCCTTACCCTCCTGTCCCTCACCAGCTCCCCAGCCCCGGGCGGCTCCCCCCTCAGCGGCACATTTAGGCCCCTGACAACCCACCAGGCTCCATCAACACACACATTCCCTCCGCACACCACCCAGCCAGGCGGACACCATGAGGGCAGCTTTGCTGAGGGAGACGTGAGGCTCAGAGAGGCCGTGTAACCCACCCGTGGCCACCAGCCAGAAACAGCCCAGAGTCCAGCCCAGGACGTCTCAGCTGAGGTCAGCGCCGGGGCCGTGGCCAGGGATGCCACTGCGTTTTGTGGTCCAAGGGCCTCCAGCCAGGGCTGTTTTCCAAGCAGAAAACCTTGACATGCATTTAAAAAATCTGTACACGCGCACGGATGAGATCGAGGAGGTGATCTGAAATGTGGGCATTCTGGGTGGCCGTGGGGGAGGGTCGCACGCCCGGCCCATGTCACCTGTGGGGACAGGAGGCGCCAACTTGCACGAGCAGCTATGTGGGCCCAGTCGGCCGCCACGCCAGCCAGGGCCGGGGCCGGGGGCAAAGTTCCCCGGCGGGCCTAGAAAGCCACCTCAGCTCCGTTCTCCGGCCCCCCTGGTTTGGGGGTGTGAGCAGACACTCGGCAAAGCCCATCTCCACACACCCACTGCCCCTCCTTAGGGGAGAGGTGGAGGAAGCGGTCAGCTGGGAGGGGCCGCTGAGAGGCTGTCTAGGAGCAGCCCCTGGCTACAGCTGGCCCCGCGGGGTGAGGAGGGGCCCCGAGCCGGAGGAGGAAGGCTCTGTCATGGCCCGAGGGGCACCTGTGCACGGAGAAGGCGCATTCTTCATTTTTCACCGCCGCTGAGGAGGGACGCCGCGTGTGTGTGTGTGTGTAGGGGGGGTCTTACGAGGACAGCAGGCTGGGCCCGCTGCGAGGCTGGCTCTGGAAGCTACGCCGGGGCAGGACCAGACCCTCTCAGGCCCTCAGTCCGCTCGGGCACTTCTGCTCTGTCCTTCGGGGGAAGAACGAGCTCGCGGTGTCAGGGTTCTGGGGTTCGTCCGCCAGTTCTTTTCCTGGCACCCCCTAAACTCAGCAGTTTCCCAAGTCAGCACCGGCCATCTGTGAGGGAGGCCGGGCCCACGTCCACACCCCAGGAGGCACACTCAGGTGCAGGCGGGCGCACCCCCCCCAGTCACGGCGAGAGCACGGGCGAGCCCACGCCCAGCCGGCCTCGGCTTCCCCGCGCACTGCCGGAGCTGGAGGGGACGGTGGGTCTCCAGGAGCCTCCAGCGAGGCCCTGTGGGGTTTTCTGTCCAGGGGCTGGGGAGCCAGGAGTCCAGCTCCCAGGTCGTCCCGTTTGGAGCGTGGACTCGGGGAGAGAAACGCGCCCGTGGGCTCCAGGCGCCCTGGGAAGGTTCAGCCCAGGAACCACCTCTGAGGGCGCCTCGCAACCCGGGGCTTCTCGCCGCCTCTGCCCGCCTCGGCCCTATACTCTGACGCCGCGTTTACGGGACGCCCCCTCCGCTGGAATGCAGCCCCGGGGCAGCGGAATGGTATCGTGCAGCTGTGCGTCCGCGATCCCCGACGAAGGACCCCACAAGGATGGGGCCAGGGAGAGCGCAGCAACGGTGGACTCCAGCCCTGGGGGCCAGCGAGGGCAGCCCCTGTGGGCCCAGCACAAGGCGCAGGGTCCGGTGCCCCCTCAGGTGCTCCCCACTCCCGGGCAGGACAGGCCCCGGCTGCCCTCCTCCTGCGCCCGGAGCCCCTGCGGCTCCGCATCAGCCCTGGGCAGGGAGGCCCAGAGAGGGCAGCGGCTGCAGGGCAGGCGGCGGCCATGGCTGCGACAGGCCTGACGCCCCCAGCGCCGCGAGAGCCGCGAGCCATTAATTGTAATTAACTAATTATTCCTGCTGCCAAGCAGCGGAGGAGGCAGAGGTGGGCAGCCCCCAAATGACTCAGCCATGTTTACAACATGCAAACCCATTTAAGAGCTTGTAAAGTCGCTATAAATGGCTCTTTGGCAGCCGGGAAATAACGACGCCGCTGCAGCTGCCAGTTCCACAACCGTCGGGCTGGGCGGCGCGGCCCGGGGCGCTGGTGCCACCTAGCGGCCCGCTCCCGACGCGCACCCGCGCTGGCTCCGGCCAAGACCCCGCAGCGCCAGCGGCGCCGGGAACCCAGGCCCAGTGAGGCCCCGCGGGGCACCGGGTCCCACCGGGTCCCGCGGCCTTGCAGCTGCTCGGAGACGTCCCCCCCAGATGGCCTGGGATCAATTTCACCGTCCATGAATTTAAACTCTTCCCGACCCGGCGGCTCCCGGGAGGTGCCAGGGAGGACGGTGACGCCCCAGCAGCCTCTGTGGGCCCTCCAGGCAGACACTCGGCTCCCTGATGCCCGCCTAGCCCTGGGCCTCACCCTTCCTCTTACCCCGCTCTCCCCCCACAGGAGCTTCCTCAACTGTCGTCCCGCGCCCAGCCCTCTCCATGCTCACGGCGCTGCATCCCCGGGAAGGGACACTCCAGGGCCGTGTGCACGTGTGCGCTGGGACCAGACGCCGGCCTCCTCCCTGCTGCCGGGCGGGCAGGGGCTGGCACGGGGCCGACTGGCTGGTCGCCGACCGCTCAAGGTAACAGCCTGTGTCAGGGGTCCGCGCCCGGCCCGGGGCCTCACCCACTCTTTACCCGGGACTCAGCTGGGAAGCAGACAGCCAGCGCACCCGCCGCTTACAGGTGGGGAGACCGAGGCCACAGGGAGTGCCGGTGCCCAAGCCCTCCTCACGTGGGCACTGCCCCGCGGGGCCTCCAGCTGGGCCCGGAGGTGGGTGGGAGGTATCAGTGGGCACTGAGCCGCAGGCTGGGGCCAAGGGCGCGTCCACACTCACCCACGGTCATGCCGTCCACGTAGCGCTTGGTGATGTCGAAGGACTCCCGCAGGTTGCCCTCCGTGATGTAGAAGATGATGTCGGCTTGGCTGGTGGGGTACAAGGGTGTGATGGTCCGGAGAAAGATGATCTCTGCCAGGAGAGGTTGGCATGAGAGCGGCCCAGCCCCCAAAAGTCACCCCACCCATGAAGAGAACCCAGCAGGAGGTCCATGGGGAGCGTGGAGGGGCCCCAGAGCCAGAGAGCACAGCCTAGCTCCGTGTCACTGGGGAAACCGAGTCTGAGCCCGATCACGGCATCCTAGCCCCCAGCCCGGAGCCTGGCACACTGGGGCCCATGTTTGCTGAGTGAATCAACAAAGGTCAGCTCCTCCAAAAGCCAGGGATGGACCTCCGCAGGGGAAGAGGGTGGCTGAAAGCCTTGCCCCACCCCAGGGACCGGGTACTGGGGTTGCAGGTCTTCCCAGGGCAGGTGCTCCCTGCAGGGCTCAGGGGAGCACTCCGTGTCACTCCTGGGCTCCAAGACCCAACGGGCCCCTCCAGGCCACCTGCCCCTGGCCTCCAGGGTGATGTTCCCATACGCTAATATTGTCAGGTGCAGCTCTTGGCCCCCAAAGACTAGGAGTTGAAGCCCCAACTCCATGTTCAGACCCTCCCTCCCCCTCTCAGCCACCTTGCCAATCTTCAACCACTCCAGCCCAAAATACTGAAATTCCTCAAATGCCCACACGCCTCTTCCCCACCGCTGGACATTCCCAGGTGTCTTCTGATCTGCTTGGCAGCCTCCTCTGTCCCTGCTCCTCACTGTCACCAGACTCTCTCCTATTGGCTACTCAGGTCCCAGCGTAGAAGTCACTTCCTCCTGGAAGCCCTCCCTGATTCTTCAGCAGATGGCACAGAATCAGCGCTTAACAGCTATTTGCTGCATGACTGTTCCCAGTAAGGAGAGACCCCTGGACCGAGAGCAGGGCGCCAGGATGCTGCTGTGTGTCTGCTGTGTGACATGAGGCAAAGCAGACCAGGAGAGGCCTGCATTTCAAGCCCTAAACTCATGTCGAGCCAGGGAACGGCTCCTTGGGGCCAAGCTCTCAGCTCACGGATTGTGAGGACCGGGGGGGGCTGCCTCCGCAGCACCCCGGGATGCTGGGCCCCTGTGCGTTCATGGGCTCACTCACCCTCAGGGCGGGTGAACTCGCGGAAGGTGGGCAGCGAGACAACGGTGTGGGAGACGGTGTGTACCGGGTCCAGCATGCAGGCCACGTCGCCCGGTCGGCAGGACTTGATGCAGCGGACGGCATCCGTCCTCTCCTGGCGGGGCCTGGGGACACGGCACAGAGGAGACAGGATGTCAGACCTTGGCACCCACATGGCCGTGGCCAGGGAGGGGAGCGGGCAGCTGGCAGGGGCGCCTGGCCTGGAGTCGGCTCTGCCAGGTACCGCCTTGGCCGCCCAGTAGAGGTGCTTTGTGGACCTTCCTGCAACCAGGCCGGGACCCAGACACCAGAGACACACCCCAGCTGCCTAGGAGGTGGGAGCGGCGCATTGCTGTTCGCCAGCTCTGAGCTGAGCTTCCCTCCTGCACTATCCTCACTGGCCAGGATAGTGGCACCTGGGGGGACCGCCCAGGGTCCAGCGGGGCTGCTCCTGCCTTCCCGGGCCCCGGGTGCTGGGTCAGGAGGGCCCGTGTGCCGTGTCCGGGACAGGTGGGGAGGCGGAGGTGGGGGTGCCGCAGGCCTGCGTCTGCCGCCGTGCCGGGTGGTGCAAACCTCCCGATGGTGAAATGAAACATAAGCACGAGGGCCGCACGCAGCCCACAGTCGGGGAGCACGGGACGGCGAATAGGCCTCGAGTGGCCGCCCAGCTCAGGAAAGATCTTCACCGCCCCCCAGCCCCCGTGGGTCCCGGGCCATGCCACCCCTGGCATCCCCAGAGTCCCCGTCCGACTCCCGCCGTCCCTCCCTGAGCGTCTTCACAGCGCGACACACCAGCGCGGCCCCGGACACGCCCTGAGGCCGCGTCTCCTGCCATGCCGCGAAGTCCTCTGAACTACAGGTTTTCTCCCCTGCGCAAAGGCTGATCCTTCCTTTCCCACAGATGCGCGGGAGGATTTCTGCAGAGATGCTGCCCTCCCAGGCCAGCGGCACACCAGGAGCTGGACGGAGGCGGAAGCCAGGCCGCTGCTCCGCCCCGGCGCCCCCGTGACGAACGGCAGACTCCAGCTCGCCGGGTAAGACGAGGCTCTCGGGTGACCGGCTGCTCTCCTGCGGCACCCGGAGGGTCCACGATCTTTTCAAAAACCAGAGTGAAACAGCTTCTGCTTCACCTTAGATTATTTCCTCCGTTCTCTCACCCGCTTCCTGGGGTTTTCTCAATTCTGACAGACCCTTCCCTGCCACTTTCTCCATGCTTCTCGTGGGCTCTGCCATGGGCGCAGATCTGACCTACCCCGGGGCCCGTCTGTCATCACGGGCTCTCTGCCCCTCATCACCCCGGGCCCCTCCCTCCTTGCCGCTCCCATGGACATGGACAAGTGCTCCTTCTGGCCCGAGGGATCTGGAGCACGATGCCAGAACTGAATACGGGGCCTCTCTGGGGTGCAGGGGTTAGTCTCAGCTATCAGGCTGCAGCATGAGTTCGATCCCTGGCCAGGGAGTGACCCACAGGGCGCAGCAGACCTCTCCTGTCTCCCGCTGCTCCCTTCAGCAGTGGATTTCAGTCAGTCTGCCTGTTCTGTTCCCCACTCTGTCTCTGGTGACTCCTCTCACCCCACCCTGCACCTCTGGCCTGCACCCCGGTTCTTGTATGCACAAATAAAAAATAAGTCTTTCAAATAAACAAAAGAACTGACTACAATGGCTGAGCCCCTGCTGACCCCTGCTGCGTCACAGAGGTGGTGATACTTGAATGAAGCCTTGAAAATGTTGCCCCCTCAACCCATCATCCCAAAAGTCATCATTTATCCATCCATCCACACCATCCATCCATCCATCCATCCATCTACCCGCGCACTGATCCACCCACCCACCCACCCATCCGTCCGTCCTGAGCGTCTTCACACCAGCGACACGCTCTGAGGCTGCGCCTCCTGCCATGCCGCGAAGTCCTCTGAACTACAGGTTTTCTCCCCAGAGCAAAGGCTGATCCTTCCTTTCCCACCTACCTGCCCACCTGTCCCTCCTCCCGCCCGCCACCCATCCACACACGTCCACTTGGACACTTACTGAGCTCCTCCAGACCAAACACTCTGAAGGTGAAGAGAACACAGAAATTAACCAGAAACAAACCCTGCCTCTAAAAAGCCCCAATGCATGGGACAGCAAAGTGGCAGGGAATGCTTGGGGGGTGCGCCCAGGACTGGGGGAGCCCCCTGGGAAGGTGACCTGGGCGCAGTCTCCGAGACGAGTAGTGCTGCAGTCAGGCCTGGAGCGTGACAAGGACCCCAGCGACAAGGTCCCGGGCGCGGCGAGCGTGGCGGGCTGGGCTGGGGAGGGCGGCGGCATGGGGGCCGCAGAGGCCCGGCAGGGAGGGTCTTGAATGCCTCCCAGGAGCTCAACTCCACCTGCTGGTAAGACGAGCCAGAGCAGGTGCTCAGAGAGGGGCAGACTGCACTGGCCTTAGCGGGGCTGTGGCGGCCACTTGGGACGGGAGACTGCTCCAGGCCAGGAGGCTCAGAGACAGCGTGGCGGCCGCCGGGAGGCTTGGTGCGGGGGCCAGAAGCCGGGGGGCAGGCTGGCCAGGTGACCTGGTCCCCGTTCTGAGGCCAGACAGCGCAGGGGTACCCCCTCCCGTCCGTGCAAGCATGGGAGAGGCCTAGGGGCCCCGCAGCCCTGTCTTGATGCCGCCCTGGCGTTTTGCTCTCGACTTCACGCTTCTGCTTAGAAGCAGCAGTGGCCGTGACGGTTACAGAAATGCCCGAGACCCCGGGCAGCGTGGGCACAAAGGCCTCTGCTCCCTGAGCAAGCATGACTGTGCAGGCGCCTGTCAGGAGCTGGGGCCGCGGCGCTGGTGAGACAGACTTGGTCCCTGCCACCTTCCCAAACCTGGGAGATGGGTGATGAATGGGGGGCCACAGGTGAGTGGGGACAGCCAGCTGGGAAAAAGGCCGCCAAGGGACCGAGCTGGGAGGGAGTGACGGAGAAACAGGGCGCCAGGGAAGGCCTCAGGAGGAAAGACACTGCGGCTTAACGGCTCCGGCCCAGCAAGCAGAGCACGTGCAAAGGCCCCGAGGCAGCAGCGTTGGCCAGAGCGGCTCAGGAGCTGAGCGAGGGGAGGGCTGTTTGAGGCCGGGCTGTGGCGCACGCATGGACTGACTTACGCGGGGCCTTGAGGGCACCGGGGCTGGGGTGGTGCTTGGCAGGATTCCCGGGGAGGAGACTGGGAAAGGCAGGCGGGTCGAGGCCCCCCGTGGTGCTTTTGGGACGGGGCGTGGCGTCAGCAAGCCAGGGGGCTGTGTGGTTTGGGCAAATCACTGCCTCTTTCTGACGCCCCGGGGACCACACCCCGCCCCAGGCAGGGAAGGACTGGGGTGCCCAGAGCTCCCACGAGCGGCGCTCTGTGCTCTGCTTTGCCCCGTTCGGGCAGGGCCAGGCGCTGAGCGGGGTGCAGGGACCCTGCTGGGGCGCGTCAGCACGAGCATGGGCTTCTCCTCGGGACACTAAGACGCTCACGTCATCCTCTGAATGCCCAGCTCGGGCGACACGGCAAGGAAACCGAGCCGGGCCAGGCGGCTCCGCCACGAGCAGGCCAGTGCCCCCCACCCCCGGGCCTGTTTCCACAGTTTCCACATGCGAGGACACGGCTCACTCACAGCGCGGCTTCTCCCGCAGGCTCAAGGTGGGGAGAGGACAATCCCCGTCCCCATCTGGCTCCCCCAGCTGGGGCTCCCCAGCCATCGGCACAGTCAGGGCCCCGGCACCCCCCGGTGGGAAGCGCCCTGGTCACCCGGGCCACAGGGGCAGGCGCTCCCCCGCCCCCGGCGCCCCCGTGACGAACGGGACAGACTCCAGCGCGCCGAATAAGACACGGCACGAGAGGCGTGCTGAGGGGCGGCCCGCCAGGACTTTATTGAACCCCGCAGGGGGACGAGAAAGCAACAGAGGAGCCCCGGCCCCAAGCGCGCTCACAGCTCCGCGGACACAAAGATGTAAAGCCTGGCCACAAAGGAGCTGGCGGCGCCGCGGCGGTAGAGGTCCATCTTGACGGTCAGGAGCAAGTCCCGGGGCTCGGGGACCGGCTTGGTGAGGGCCACCACGCCGCTGTGGTGGCTCACCTTCCGGGTGGTAAAAAAGCCCTCCTCGTTGCCGCCGGTGATGGTCAGCTCCATGCTGTCCCCGGGCACGGCGCTGGAGGGGCCCATGCGGAAGACCACGGCGGGCACTTGGATGTTGGTGGGGAAAGAGAGGTGGTAGGAGGTTATTCTCAGGGGCAGCTTGGAACATTCCACGTTCTCGTGGCAAGGCAAGCGCTCGCAGCGGCTGCAAGAAAAGTGGACAGAGAGAAGGGAGGCGGTCAGGGCAGCCCCAGCGGGGGAGAAGCAGCAGCAGGGGCGGGGCTCGCGGTCCCGCCGCCCCTCTGGCCAGCGCAGCCAACAGAAGAGCCTCCCTCACTCACCTGCGGGGGGTGCCGTGGGCCTCCAGGCCGCCGACTCCGGCACTAGCCTCTTCCAACACCCGCGGGGCGCTGCGTGTGCCCCGAGAAGGGGTGCCCCTTCGCCCAGCAGAGCCCCGCCCCAGGCCGCGCTCCCCGGCACACCTGCCCCGACTGTCTCCGGGTTCCCGGCCCGCACCCCGACAGTGTCAGGGCTGCCCCTGGGTGCACAGGTGCGTCTCAGGACGACCTGGAGGGCATCTCCGCCACGAGCAGCCACGCTGCTGCCATCTGGCGAGTGCGGGCTCTCCGGGCTGCCCTTGCTGTGCCTGCACCCAACCAGGCAGGCGCCAAGTGCAGACAGGGAGGCTGGTCGTCCGAGGCCTTCGCAGGCCACAGAGCGGGCGAGGATGCCAGGTGGGAGGGGTCACCACCGGGCCAGTGAGCTCAGCCCCGGGCCCCTACATGTGTGCCGGGCTCTGCTCCCCAGCTGAATCCGGGAGCAGACGTGGGGCAGGGTCGACCTCCGCCCCGAACGCCAGCCTGGCGGCCGCTACCTAAAAACCCCAGAGCTGAGGTGGAACCGTGGACACAGCGGGGCGGTGCCGGGAGACCGCCGCCTTGACGGGCGGGCGCACCACCCGAGCATGCAGTCACCAGCACACCCCCTTCCGGGCTTTTACACGCCCGCGTCTTGCGCCGGGTCCCGTGGCCTGGGAGTGCCCGTGGCCTTCGCCGCGCATCTCGCTTTACGTCCTATGTCCAGACAGGCGTCTGTCTGCTCAGGTGCCCGCCAACCTGGGCCCTTGCAAGGGCCCCCAAGTACTGCCGCTGTGAGCACAGGGGCCCCGAAGGGAGGAGGGGCGCAGAGGCAGAGGGGCAGGGGGGAGGCGAGGAGGGTGCCGCTGCCGGGGCCAGGCCAGCCCCGGAGACACCCAGGTCCAGGTGACTTGGAGCCCCCAAAGCCTCTGCGGCCGTGGGGAGTGGAGGAGGTGACGGGGTCTCTGGGGCGTCACCGCGGAGCCGCAGGGCTCTTCCACTAGCTCACGTCACGCTCCACGCCCTTCTCCCCACCAGCTGACGCTCGGGAGACGAGCAACTTGTCCCGATGCCATGGTCTGCAGGAGGTGGCAGGTTTGGGTTTCAAAGTCAGCCTGTCTCACTGCAGCACACGCATGTACACACACACACACACACACACACACACACACACACACACACAAAGGCACGCACCCAAAGCCCTGCTGCTCCAGGACGGGCCTGGTGGGCATGGCCAGCAGGTGGCACTAGAGTCCCCTCCTGTGCGCCGGGTGCACCCGCGTTGTAGGGCAGCACCTGGTGGAGGCAGCCGTGGGAGCAGCGTCCGGCACACGGGGACAGCAGGCAGGACGCGTGAAGTGTGTGTGGTGTCCTGCACAGAGCCTGCAGCCAACGCACCCCAGGAGCCTGCGCTCTGTCCCCCCAGCAGCCCAGGGGCTCAGCACCCCTGATGCGTCACCCAGCCCAAGCTCTTAAACGCTACACCCCAAACTTCCCGAGACTGCCCGGAAGCCCCAACCCTGGGCAGGAGCCCTCTTGTCGGGCTGGGGGCACCCACACCTGCCAGCCAGCCCGTCCGTGGAGGAGCTGTGGGCACTGAGCCTGCGGCAGACACAGACGCCGGCCCCGGCCACACGCCACCTGCAGGCCAGAGACAACCAGGCCCTGCAGCACAGCAAGCTTGATCAGAAACCCCAAGGTCCGCACAGACGCACGATCAGATTATTGAAAGCACCACACTGGCCTGGCCGAGTAGGGGCAGGTGCCGAGTTACAGCATCCGAGAGTGACTGGTCCTGCATCCCCCTGGTCCACTGCCCACTTAGGCCCCTGCTGACCACCGGAGCACCACACCCCTTTACCACGAGACCATGAGACTCAGAGAAGGGGGGACCTGCTCGCATATGGGGCCAGGGCTGGAGTAGACAGAGCCGAGAGGCAGCCCAGCCAGCCTGACTCAAGCTGGGATCTGTCCAGTTGCCACCGTGTCCTCACCAGGCCCGGTCACTGTGCTCAGCCAGGCCGTCCTCAGCCAGGCCCCTTAGCCTGGAGGCTCCCCCATCCCAGCTCCATCCCCGCCCCCAGTCTCTGCTCTGGCAGCTGGAGGGAGCAGGCCCAAGAGAACGTGTGTTAATTTGGGGGGCCTTCCATTCTGGAAGGGCCACCTGGGGCCTCACCCACCCCCCCACTTGTCTTTACTTCTGGTTCTTACAGAAAATGACAGCGCTCCTCCCGACAGACCCAGGGAGCGGACGAGCCCACAAGTGGGGGCAAACCAAACCTGGAGGTCACCCCAGCTCCATCCACCCCCCAACCTCCTCCCTTTTTGCCGGACTCAGCTCCTCCGTCCCCCTTCATTCAAGCACCGCCGACCCGTCCCCCCACAGCTGCCCCTGGCCACATGGAGGCCCCTGCTCCTCAGCACCCGCTGGTGCAACCTCCACTCTCTGGAGTGCTGCTCACCCACCCACCTCGGCCTGGGGGCCTTCCCCTCACTGGGCACGGGAAGCGAGGTGATGGGTTTCCAAGAGCAGAGGCCTGGCGGGGTGGCGAGGCCAGTGGGCAGGCCCCGGAGCCAGAAAGGACAGAAGGGGCTGCGGGAGACAGGCGTCTGAGTGGCTCCAGCTCTGGAACTCTACAAACTGGAGCCTAGGACCCCAAGCCGGAGTGGCCACCCCACAGGCCCAGCAAGTGGACGTTATCCAAGAACATCTCCCTCGGTGGGAGCAGTGGGCTCAAGGTGAAGAGGCCGAGCCTGGGAAACTGAGTCAGCCCTGCTGCGAGCTGGCTCTGCGTGATGCTGGGGCTGCAAGGGTTACACCTCCCCATGCTGGGGCTGTGACGGGTCCCCCGGGAAGGTCTCTGAAAGCACTGATGGCGGCACTCACTGAGGGACACTTGTGACAGTAGAAGCAGGGGTGGGAGGGCCTCCCTGGTGGCACAAGGGGTTAAGCACAGCACTGTGAAGCTATCTGCAGCCCCTGCAACACCAGTTCAATCCCCAGCCTGGGAGCTACCCCCATGGTGCAGCAGACCTCTCTTGTCTCCCCGCTGCTCCCCTCAGCAGTGTATCTCAGTGGATCTGCCTGTTCTGCTCCCCACTCTTGTCTCTGGTGAATCCTCTCACCCCCTACACCTCTGGCCTGCACCCCAGTTCTTGTAAGCATAAATAAATAAATCGTTAAAAAAAAAAAAAGGAAGCAGGGGTGGGACGGGGAAGGCTTCCCCGGGCCCTGCACACTCCTGCAAAGGGACACTCGGCTTCACGAGTGAGACACAAAACCTCTGCTGCTCCCACATATTCACTGGCCTGAACAGAATCTGTCTTTCAAGTGGGGGTGCTTGATAACAACACCCCAACAAGTCACATTGGCTCACGTGGAGTCCCTGCTGCCTTGATCTGGGTCTGAGGAGGCTCTGATGTCTGCATCTCATAGGTGAGGACGCTGAGGCCCAGAGCGCCGCCCCCACACCCCGAGGCTCTGCACATGACCGTGGCTTCCTGCAGCCAGTCTCACTGGCCGGCGCTGTGGCCCAGAAACCTGGCGTCCTGGAGTTTCTCCCAGACCTCGTGGGAGGACACGGCTCTCTACCGCCCACCGGGTCCATTCGGGCCCCCCGGAGCCGGCGCAGGCAGACGTGCTCGGGCCGAGGACTTACGTGTCTGCGGAGCGGCGGTAGTTCTCAGGGCACTCGAAGGCCAGGCAGCGGAAGCCGCCCTGGATGTTGAAGCAGGTCTCGTTGATGGAGCAGTTGTGGACGCCGGTCACACACTCGTCAATGTCTGCGAGAGACCCCAGGCGGCAGCGTGAGGGCCCGGCCCGGGCGCCCCATCCGCCGACGGCCGACCTCCCACGAGCAGGGTCAGCAGGGTCGGGGTGGGGGTCGGGCCGTCCTTGCCCTCCGCGGCTGCTGCAGGAGCGGGCCCTGTGCCAGATGCCTTGACGACAGGCTCCTCGCCTCTAGAGCGCATTTACTAGTGACTCGCAGTCCCCGGAAGGGACGTAACGACAGCAGCAAACGCTCTGACAGCCCCAGAAGCATCCTCAGAAAGCTCACCTGACTAACCGCTCAGCGAGGCCAGTACTGCGAGCCTCACTCGGGAGGAGCTCATGGAGGTTATGGGCCTTGCCTAACTCAGGCCACACGCCTTGTACGGGGTGGACATGGGTGGCGTGCTGACCAGCCTGCACCTCTCTCCCCCGAGGCCCACCCCCTTACCTCACTGGGACTCGTGACAGGAGGGACACAGCAGCAGCTACTGGCCCACGTCACAGATGAGAAAACCGAGGCCTAAAGACATCCGACGCCTGGCCCAGTGTCCCAGGTCAGTGACCACCTGCCTGGAAGCAGGCCTGGGGCGCTGCCATGAGAGCCCTGGATGCAGGGGGCCTGGACGCAGGGGGCCTGCCCTTTCCCACCATGACTCCAGAGCAGCCAAAAGGTGGGGCCTGGAGACACCCGTGAAGAGTGGCAACCCCCCACCCACTGTTCTGGGCCTGGGCAATCCCTGGGCTTCGTGAGGGCGCCCAGGCAGGGGCAGGAGACTCATCTGCTACGTCAGAAAGTCGAAAGCAGAGCGACTTGGATTCCCAGCCTGCAAGGGCCACCTGGGTGCCCCCGGGAAACGCCCACCTGGCCCCTTGGATCAGGTGGCCTCCTCCGTGACGGTGAAGCACAGCACAGAACTGGGCCTGGGGCTCGGGGCCGCCAGCCCCAAGGGAGCTCGGAGGAAGGGGCCGGGCACCACTGTGATTCAGCCTCTGGCTGCTCCAAGGCGGGACAATGTCCCCTACGGGATGGCTCATTTACCGTGTCTGCTCAGCACCTCCTCAGCGACCAAAGGGGCGGTTACAGGCACAGGATCACACAAACAGGCAGACACTGGGCCCGTTCGCCCCACCCTGGAGCTGGCCCAGTCCCAGCGGGACACTCACAGCCAACGTGTCCATCAACACGGCTGTCAAGTACCCAGAGCACACCCAGTCCCTGCTGGGCACAGACCGGCCCTTGGGGCAGAGGGTTCCTGCCCAACCGCCTGGAAGGCCCGGCGCGCAGCAAGAGGCTGAAGGACCCCACAGACAGAGGGATAGAATGGAGATCTCCTCCCCGCGGACATCTTCCGAAACGTGGTCAGCTCCCTCCTGCTCCGGAGGCTGGACAGGAAGGCTGGGAACCCCAGGACAGGTATACTGGGGTTCAGGTGTAGGCTTTGGGGTGTCCGTGGACCATGGGAAATCCCCCAAACGCACTCCCTGCAGTGGGACGGACGGCCTGACCCTGCCACGCGGAGCCCCCAACCAGGAGGCCCGGGCTGCAGCTGCTCACCTTGGCAGTTGCGGCCGTTGGGGGCCAGCCGGTACCCAGACGCAGGGCAGCTGCACTGGAAACTGCCGGGGATGTTGATGCAACGGTAGGAGCAGATGTGGCCACCCGTGGGCAGGGCGCATTCGTCGATGTCTGTGACAGCAGAGTCCCCTCAGCACCCACATGGACCCTGCCGGCCCGTCCCCAGGGCCGGACCAGGACCGCGCGGGCAGTCACATGGGTGGACAGGGGCACCTCAAAATGCCAGGACTCTAAGGGGACACCGAGGCCCAGAGGGGAAGGCCGAGCCGAGAACCACAGCAGGTTCAAGGCGCGAACACGTATGTGGCAGGCAGGGGGGCACGGCCCAGGACACGCAGGACATGCCTGTGGGCTGTAGGCGCTTCCTGAGGCTGACGGCCACAGCCTGCACCCCCTAACGGGCAGCCAGTCACCTCCCTAACGGCTGCCGTGGAGCACCTCTGGGTGCCAGGCCCTATGCAAGGTGCTTTTAACTCGTCACCCACTTTGCCCTCGACAGCCTGGTAGGGCTGGGCTGACCCGGGTTACCGAGCAGCCAGGGCTGCCCGTGTCCACTAAAGCCAAATCCCGGGAGTGGGCTCCTCCCTTCCAACAGGTGAGGCGGCTCCAACACATCTCAGCCCAGAGGCCTGCCAGAAAGGTGTGACGTGGGGCGGGGGGGACACCCGGCCTCACCCTCGCAGGTGACCCCGTCCACGTCGCTGAGCTGGTAGCCGCGCCGGCAGTAGCACTGGTAGGAGCCGTAGACGTTGGCACACTCCTGGCTGCAGGGGCTGCTGCTGCATTCATTCACATCTGCAAGAGAGGGGTCCCGGGGGCCCCGGCTCAGCACAGCCGCACCCGCTGCCAACACAACGCCTCCCTCCAGCTGACGAGCAGGGGGTCGCCCCAAGGGAGATGTCCCCCAACTCCTGTCCCCATGGCTGATGGATCTGGACCCTCTCCACCCTGCCTGATTCAGCCACACGTCTCCCGCCAGGAAGGCAGGGAGAATCTCCCCCCGTCGGGCTCTAGGGGCCGCGGGAGTCAGCCCCAGCTCTCCAGTGGAAATCTGACCATGTCCTCCCAGCGTCACCTCCCAGATGACACAGCCGAGGGAGGTCCTCTGAGATCGGCCGACACGACCACATTAATCCTCACTAGGTCGCTCAGCAGTTCTGTGCCCTGCAGCTCTGGGCAGTTTCCTCTGCCCAGAGCAGGGATGCAGGCACCTGGCCCACCGCTCACAGTGTGTCAATAAAGTTTTATTGACATGTGACCATGCATCCACCATGCTCTACAGCTGCTGAACGTGAGCTGAACGTCACCCCAAATGTCTGCAGGAGCAGCTTCCCACAGCTTTCCTGGGAGGTAGGCAGCCCGGGGGACAGAGAGATGACCTGCAGGAGCACCTGGCCAGCCCTGCCCCTCACCTTCGCAGGACCGGCCGTCAGCAGCCAGCCGGAAGCCCGCGGAGCAGCTACAGCGGTAGGAGCCGAGTGTGTTCTCACACTTGTGGCTGCACAGCCGCCCCGGGTAGCGGCGACACTCGTTGATGTCTGCAAGACAGTAGGGCGGGCGGCTCAGGGCAACGTGCACCCCAACAACCCTCCACTCGCCTTCCTTCAAGGGGGGCACCCACACCCTGCGTCCCCACCTCCTTCAGACTCATTCCTCCACCAGAGGTAAAGTGACTTGTCCTGTACATGACAAAGGAGGGGGGCTGGGACCCCACTCCAGCAGCTCTGCCCTCCAGGCCAGCCTCACGTTCTTTCCCAGAGGCACGCGCCAACCGCCAGTTGGCGCCTGAAGGAGGGTCGGTGGGGATCTAACCAGAGGGGAGGTGCCAGCTACCCCTGAGTGCCCTGGCTGGGTGTTAGCAGGGCCAGCGGCAGGGTCTGTGCAGCTCCTGGTGGTCAGGCTGCTGGGCCAGCCCGGGGTCTCCCTGCCCTGGGCTGGGCACACAGCGCAGACCTGCCACTCTGCAGGCCACTGGTGAGCAGCTGGGAGATTACTAACTCATCTGGGCATTTGCCCCATGGGCTGCATTCCCATAAGCGCTTGGAAGTCTGGGGTCAGGCCGAACACCTGCTCTTCAGGTAAGAAAACGGCCACGCACCTGCAGGGCCCGCAGGCCTAGAACAGAAGGGGACTCCCAACTAGGGGGTCTTTTCTCTGGGCCTGCCTGCACTTGGTGCTTCTGGGTGAGGTGTAGCCTGCGGCCCCTTGGGGATTCCACAGGTCCTAGCTCTGGCTGGGCCTCCTAGGCCAGCGGGGACACCACATACCCACACACGTCCTGCTGATGCCGTCAAAATAGTAACCAGCCTCACACTCGCAGCGGAAGCTTCCAGGGGAGTTCACGCAGCGGTGCCCCGGCCCGCAGGGCTCGGAGGGCGGCGAACACTCGTCCACATCTTGCAAAGGGGAGAGACATGGCAAAGCGTTGGTGAGCAGCCCCCAAAGGTGGCCAGAAAGGAGCAAACTGAAATGCACACAGACGGGGAGGGTGGCCCCGACCAGGGAGGGAGGTGGAGTGGCCGCTGGGGCATGCAGCTCACGCTGACCTGGGACCAACCAACTAAAGACACAGACTCTGGCTGGGACAGAAGAACAAAATGCGCATTGACAAGGCAGCCCAGTGTCATTCTCCGCGTGTCCACAGAGCGCCTGCCCGGGCCAGTGCTGGGCGGACATGCAGCCCCACCCTCTGGGACGCTGCTCTGAGCAGCCTGCAGGGCCCTGGTTCAGGCAGAAAGTGCCCGGGACACTGAGGAAGGGCTCTGGGAGTTACAGGCAGGAGACCCCTGTGGACTCCGGGCAGCCGGGCATGCACCCTCGCCCTAGGCCAAGAGGCGCAGGGGGCAAAGGGAATGATGTAGGGAAAAACACGGGGAAGCAGAGGCTTCTGTGGGGAGCAGCAAGACCTGTCTCATCTGGATTACAAGGGTGTGAGGCTGGGGCTGAGGTGGGAGCCTGGGGCTCTGTCCTTGACGGACACCACGGGGCGCTGTCTCCAAGGGTGCTGTGAGCAGAGAGGGGTGGGCGAGCTTTCGGCTCAGGATGAACGGATTGAAGGAGACAGAGCTGGGTACTGGGTGGCTGGCGTGCTACTGCACCAGTCCAGGCAACAGCCAAGAGAGGCCAGCAAGGGAGTGGAAGGACAGGCCAAAGGGCTCCTCTTGGGGGACACGCTCTCCCCTTCCACCGGGGGGGCGGGCTGCAGCGGACGGGGAGCCCGGTTCAGCTTGGTTTTCTTTTTCATCACCAACCAACACAGCGGGTTCCCTCCTCATTGAGATGGTAGCCACGGCCACAGTTGGGCACATTCTTCTGGCACGTGTAGGAGCCCTCCGTGTTGATGCAAGTCTGCCCAGCCGGGCACGGGGCACTGATACTTAAACACTCGTTGATGTCTGCAGCAGGGAAGATGAGGAGAACACGGTGAGCCACGGGCCTCCGACCCCAGCCGCGCATCTCCGCAGAAAGCCCGCGTCCCTCCTCTTTGCAAAACAAGTGAGAAGCACGCCGGAGCCCTCCCTCAGGCCACGCACAGCCTCCTGATTAGCTCCCAGACCCCACCAGCTCACACCACCTCGCCGCCGCCGTCCGCCCCAAGCCTTCGGCACTCCCTCGTCCCCGGCCCTGGATCCGAAGCTGCCACCCGGCTCTCAGTCCCCCTCCACGGTCTCCAAGGGCCCCCCCAGCCCCACTGGGCGCGGCGCCAGCCTGGGACTGTAACCCGTGTTGAGTGGCTCAACTGCTCTCAGACGCTAAAGCATGAAAGAAAAACCTCAGACTCTCCCGGGAGACTTGCTTTCGCAGACACAGCAGAGTCCGGGGGCTCATTAACCGTGAGCCAAGCCCCTGGGCCAGCTGGAGCCGGGAGACTGCGCGCAGGGGAGCGGAGCCCCGCGGGGAGCGGCCACCAGCCGAAAGTCCCATCTTCAGTTCTCCCCAGAAAACACGTCTCCGCCTAAGAAGCGCCCCGGACCCAGCGAGTGAGCCCAGCCACATGCACATTTCTCGCCCTCGGCGTACTCCCGAGCCAGCCAGAAGAGATGCCTGCGCTCTCCGTCCCAGACCTCAAAACCTACAGACCTTCATTCCCTTTCCTAACCAGGGAGGTGAGCTTGACTTTATCTCCTTCCTCCTGGCCAACTGACTTGCAGTAAAGCTTGTTTTCTGTTCTCAACACCTGACGCCATGGTTCAGTGTCTGCGTGTGGGCAGCCAGGCTGGCTTGGTGGCATCAGCGCTCCTGCCTCTGGCCAGAGGCCGCGTCTTCCTTGCCTGCTCCTGCAAGACTCCTGGCTCCTCCAGGGCCTGCCCAGCCCACTGGCTCCCCAGGCACCTGCGACCGGTCTCTCCAACAGCCCACGCTCGAGCCCAGCAACAGCCTCATCGGCAGCACCTGTATATAGCACACCTGCGGCACCTGGCTAACACCCCGGCAATACCTGGCTAGCGCACCTGCGGCACCTGGCTAACACCCCGGCAGTACCTGGCTAGCGCACCTGCATTACCTGGCTAGCGCACCTGCGGCACCTGGCTAACACCCCGGCAGTACCTGGCTAGCGCACCTGCATTACCTGGCTAGCACACCTGCGGCACCTGGCTAGCGCCCCGGCAGTACCTGGCTAGCGCACCTGCATTACCTGGCTAGCACACCTGTGGCACCTGGCTAGCGCCCCGGCAGTACCTGGCTAGCGCACCTGCAGCACCTGGCTAGCACCCCGGTAGTACCTGGCTAGCACACCTGCAGCACCTGGCTAGCGCCCCGGCAGTACCTGGCTAGCACACCTGCAGCACCTGGCTAGTGCCCCGGCAGTACCTGGCTAGCACACCTGCAGCACCTGGCTAGCGCCCCGGCAGTACCTGGTTAGCGCACCTGCAGCACCTGGCTAGTGCCCCGGCAGTACCTGGCTAGCACACCTGCAGCACCTGGCTAGCGCCCCGGCAGTACCTGGTTAGCGCACCTGCAGCACCTGGCATACCTGTGGCACCTGGATAGCCCACCTGTGGCACCAGGCAGCATCCTACTACTGTGCCTTTCTCACACACCCCCTGCCTGGGAATCCCGCTCCCTCATCGGCCTGGTAAACATGCCTCTTTTACTGCCCAGCAACCTCCTCCCTGGACATTCCTGCCTGTGCCCCCTCTGGGCTCGAAGGGCCTGTGCAGCCTTGGGCCTGGCTGGGCAGGCTGCCTACCCTAAGCTCACAGCACAAGGGCATCCTCCTGGACCGGACAGACCTCTGAGGTGGGGACAGTGGCCTTCTGCTTTTGGTGAACGCACATGTGAGCCAAAAAAATGCCTGGAGAACGTCCCCGCCTGTCCTCGTGGAGCAGCAGGCTGAACGGGAGGGAGTCTCTGAACACACCTGCGTTCTTACGGATCACTTTGTTCTGACACAGAGCACCTGGGGCAGGGCAGGAGTGGAGGCGGGAGACCCCAAGCTGAGGCCCCCTTCTGCCTCGCAGCCAGCCCACCTCCTGGGACGCCCCTCCAACCGGCACAGCACTCACAGCTACAGACGCGCCGCGTCCATGGCTGCCTTGTCCGCTGCAGCCCGCCAGGAGGCGCCACAGGCTGCCTGCACCTTACAGACAGGATGCTCCCCACGCCGGCCAGCCAGCCCCCCAGCCAGCATGACAGCCTTTATTGGGGATCAGCTAACAGCCTGCTGGCCAAGTCCCGCCTGTGACCTGGGCTTGGAAGAACATTCCCACTGGCACACGGCCGAGCGCGTGGCGGCTCTTCCTTGTGCCCAGAAGAAGCACACAATTGGGGTAACTGGTAACTGGTAACTCCCCTCTGCGCCCCGGGCTCTGCAACCCATCTAGTTCCCAAACCCTGGCCCTCGGAACACGGGCGCCTCAAGACATCATGTGCTCCACGGGGAGGGGTGCTCCAGCCCATGGGCACCACGAGCAGGGGCCGGGCGACCCCTGGTGAATGGACAGATAGGAGAGGGAACCGCTCCACAGTCCCTCCCTCAGGAGCATGCGTGGGAAAGCCTGGGAAATGCGGCCACCAGAGGCCCTATTCATTTGTTTAACCCAGTGAGCCCGGACTCGCTTCTGCCTGGGGGGGCCTGTGAAAGTCCCGAGACCCAAGGGCCGGGCTGTGGGAGCGAGGAGGCCGGAGGGAGGCAGCGGACGAGGGACCCGCCTTCGCCTGCAGACACAAAGATCGCTCCCACCCTGTCTAGCTACGTTCTCCTTGTAAAGAACTACCCTGGGTAAGGCAGCCGCTTGATCAAAGACATAAGGGCACCAACGTCAAGCGCACGTTGCCACATGGGGAGAAGCAAGATTCGGGTCAGCACAGCCTCCCCCAGAGGGGCCTGGACAGAACAAGATAGACTCTCAGCCCCTTGCTTGGGTGGTGCTGCCTTAAGGCGGGGGTGATGCACGGTCTCTAGGGGTGTCTAGGGGGTCTGCAGCTCAGATCAGGGGAGAAGTCTTCCTGACCTCAAAGGCAGGACCCAGAAGGTTCTGCTGAGCAGCGGGTCAGGGCAGGCAACAGATCTGGACTCATCTGCAACCGGAAACAGGGACTGAATCAGGGGGTTAACCCGGGCGACCTCCGGAGACCAGGGCCTCATCCAGCTGCCTCCGCCCGTGGCCCCCATCCACCAGCTTCTCCTGCGCCAGCAGCCCTGCCTAGACCTCCTGCTTCCACGACATCACATGGGATTTTCTTCGGCTTCACCTCAACCTTCCTCTGACATTAATAATACTCTTTTCATGGTGGTGAAATCCACGTGACACAAAGTGTGTCATTTCAATCGTTTCTAAGAACAGACGAGCGGCACCGGTGCTGTCACGCAGACGTGGACTGTGGCCTCCGCCATTCACTGAGTATCTCACTTTCCCCACTGAAAGCTGCCCGTGGACACTGACACCCCAGCCCTGGCCCCCGGCCCCACCATTCTCCTCTCTGTCTCCATGACTTTGACCAGCAGCAACACAGAGTATTTTCACTACACCAAGCACTTCACAATCCCCGTGTTTAGTCCTCACCTCAAGCCTGTAAGTCAAATATTCCAATTCCTCCCCATTCACAGAGGAGGAAACAGGCTTAGAGGAAGTAAATCACCTTGGGTCAATCAGTTCAAAGCCAGGTGTCCCCGATTCCAAAACTCAGGCTTTCACCTAAACCACGGGCCAAACCCAGCCTGTGTCTGCTTTTGTAAATAAAGTTTTATTGCCGTCTGGCCCCTGCCTTGTGTTCACACACCACCCCCGGCTGCTTTCTCCAGCTGCAGTGGCAGAGCTCAGCGGAGGCAACAAGGGACCCAGCTTGCCTAAAACAAGCTTTAGGCAAAGCCCAGCTTGCCTAAAACAGCCGCCCTCTGTGGCCAAGGCTGCCTGGTCCCATTTCTGTATACTGGTAGCCCCCAAATCCTAGACACAGCTCCTCGCGGGTCACCGCCCCGCCTAGTGACTGTGAGCCTGGCGGCTGAGTCTTACCAATACAGTTGCCTAGAGCATCTTGTATAAAGCCGCTCTTGCACTGTAGCTTGGGTCTGCAGCGGAAGGATCCCAGAGTATTCTGACAGATAAAATCGGGGAGGCAGTTATGAATACCACTCTCACATTCGTCAATATCTGGTACATCATAAAAAAAGGAAATGGTTAGCAAGAGTCCTCCCAGAGCATGTTACAACACTTTAAAATCACAAGAACGTTTTCTTCTAATGTTCATTACTCAGACCACCCCCAAAATGCTGTAATAATGAGGTCACACACTGAGGGCCGTGGTTAGCCAAACAGGCCCCCATTGCCAAGGTCTCCGGACGTGCCTCCCCGCTGCCTCCAGCCCTGGGCTCTGAGAGGCGACTTCTCTGCTATATAATAAATAACCCAGACATTTTCCTGGCAGATATATAGGGGTTTTTTTTCTCATTTCAGGTTTTTTTCTCACTTTCTCATTTCATTTTAGTCCTAAAGCAGTGACCGTAATACAAGACTCACATAGCACAAGGCCCCCTGCATCAAATATTAAATCAGTAGCATGTCAGTACAAAAAAAAAATTTTGTCATTTATTCATGCTTAAGCACAATTCAAGTTTCGTAGTGAGTGATCAATCTGTATTTATGATTTTGAAGAAAATGTTCATAGATAACATTACAGATTTGTACATATCCAAAAGAGCTTGTGAAGAAATATGCACAAAGCTCATCAACGTGGCTTGGATGAAACAAAGCCACGGCCCCTACACCGGCTCACGGGAAGCTGTCACAAAGTCCAGACGTGAGCAGAGGCCATTGTCAGGACGCGTGGGCTGCCCTGCCCTTGAAGTTCAAGGCTGTGTGTTCTATCCTGTATACTCAGCTGGCGGGCCCTTGGGCTGCATGACCCCCAGCGGCCACAGGGCAGGTGCCCAGGCCCAGCAGAGGCCCTCCATGGCAGGGGCGCGTGGCTTGGGGTCACCCTCCTACTCCACCCAGGTGTTCACCCCAGTGTTTTTGTTATTCTGAAGGCTCGAAGGCCTCAGCCAAGAACTACATCCGGGCAGATCAGCCCTGGGGCCCTATCTGCCGAGCAACATCCCAGGCATGGAGCGAGGCCCCAGGGAACAAGCTTTGAACTTCAAGGAGGCCTGGAGCCAGGTGGAGGCAGCCATTGTGTACAAGATTCTTTCCCCTCCACAGCACGTGTGGGCGCCTGAAGTCCCCTGGCCTTGTTTTCCAATGACCATGCCCTGAGCCTGTTCTGAAACCCACACTGGCCACTGCCATTGTCACGTACAGCAGAGAGGGTCAGTCCCTGCCCAGACTTGCCCCAGCGGCCGCGGGCCAGCTCCACGAGCCCAGCGGGTGCCCAGCAACCCCCCACCCCTGCACTGCCCCCAGGGGAGTCTGCGGCAGCCAGGCCTACCTTTGCAGTCATTGTTCTCGGTGAGCTCGTAGCCCGTCCCGCAGCTGCTGTCCCGCTGGCAGCGGAAGGAGCCGGCTGTGTTGATGCAGGACTCGCCCAGCCGGCAGGCATGGCGGCCCGTGATGCACTCGTTCACATCTAGGGGAGACGGGCGCAGTGACCAGAGGGAACCGCGGCCCTTCCCCCCCACCCTTTGCCCCCCACATTCACCAGAAGCCAGTTTCTCTCCAGCTACGTCTGACATGGACTGCCCAGTGCCTGCTGAGCCCGTGCTGGGCCCTGACCTGGAGTCCTGGGCGGTCACTTCCTCCGTGTGCCCCTGGACAGATGAGGGGCCGAGGGGGCCAAGGGACAGGCCCGGGGCCACTCAACCAGCAGACACTGATTTCAGAGACTGGTCAGAACCTAAACCCTCCTCCCCAGCACAGTGTTTACACCCTGCAGGATGGGGCCTGGCTGGAAGCCAGAGCAGCAAGCGCCAGGCACGCCAGGCTAGTCCTGCTCTGTCCTTCGACCGCCAGCAAGATGGAAACAGACCAGCTGGGAGGAGAGAGGCTCCGCCCAGTGACCCACCACGCTGAGCCCCAGGACTCACCTTCACAGGAGACGCCGTCGGGCATCAGCTGGTAGCCCACGAAGCAAGAGCAGACCACCTCCTCCCCCGTGTCCCGGCACTGCTGCCTGCAGGGCCCGCCACCTGGAGGGAGTGGACATGAGCGGGCAGCTGCACACCCAGAACTCTGGGCTGGCCTGTTCTGGACTCGAGCAAATGCCCTTGGGGGACTGACACAGAAAAGCAGGCTCCCCAGATGCCTGCCCCATGAGGTAGCCCCGGGACTCTGGTCTAAACAGCCCAGGCTGCTGCTGACCGACTGGAAGCAGGCCCAGCGGCCTCTGGATGTTCCAGCAGAACTAAAGGGGCAGGCAGACCCGTGCTCGGCACGAACACCAAGGGAACATGCCCCCCAGGATGACCTGAACTGACCACCCCTTTCTCCCAGGCCGGCCTGCTGCCCTATTCCCAATGCCCTGGCCTCAGCTGCGGCCATCCGCCCACCTGGCTCCCTGGGCAGCCCTGGCACCACCCCACCAGAGCTAATCTTATCGGGACAGACCCCTACCAGGTCCAGACCCCAACTGCTGCCCAGGGTCTGCAGGGCCCTGCCCAGCTCTCCAGCCTCTTTCTCTATCCCTCCACCAGTCCACCCCGCCAGGGCACCAGGGTCACGTCTCCACCCCTGTGGCCCAGGCCCCAGTCAGCGTCACTGGCCTGCAAACCCAGCTCATCCATGCTCATGCCCCCCAGAGGACTGTGTGGCTTTCTGGGGCTCTAGGCCTCTGTGCCAGCGGTCACTGTCCCCGACCACATCATGCTGTGACCAAACCCACCCCCTCATTAGCACCCCAACCACAGGGCCAGCCACTGGGTGAACTTGTGGAGGCAACCTGCCAGTTTAGACATGCCGGGAGGTTCCAGGAAACAGAAACAGTTTTATCATATAGAAAACAAACCTGTAAGGGCCTACTTTAAATTTGCTAATGTCTCACTTGTGAGTCAAAAGCAGACAACAGAGAGGCCCCAGAATAGTGGGGTTCACCCTTCCTTAGGGCTCCTGGCCTGAGGGGGACTTGCTCAGGGTCACAAAGCCATGAGCTGGGACGTGGCCAGGCATATGCCATGCTGGGAAGGCTTCCTTGAGGCCCCTCTCCTTAAGCTCCCCCTCTCCGTACCCCCTGGCCCCAGCTCAGAGGAGAGAGGGAAGGAGTGGAGGCTGGAGATGGACCGTCCAGCCACTCCCGGCCTCCCAGGTGGACCTGAGCAAAACCGAGCTCAGCCCCACGAGGCCCCGCTGACCCCCTCTGGGGGCCTTACACACACCTCGGCAGCGGTCATTCAGGTACGGGTCCTCTGGCTCCTCCTCCAGCTCGGACACCTTGGCTAAGGGAAGAGATAGACACATTTATCCAGACCCAGCGCTCCAGCAGCGGACACAACCCGGGGGCTCACCCTCCATAACGCCAGCGGCCAGGCCCACCGGCCAGCCTCCCGCAGCGGCGTCCTCACAGCCCTGAAGCAGACCCCCCTCGTGAGGCGCTGATCCCAGGGGAAAGGTCCCTCATAGCAAAGAGCACTGGCACGAGGCCCAGACACACAGCTTTGTGCTGGAGCTGCGTGTCGTCCGAATTGCAGGAATATTCCAGCCAGCACCGTCATGCCCTGCTCTAAACCAAGCTGCACCCCCAAACCTGAAACTACGCACCTGGTGCAAGCTAACCAACTGGGCTGAATGGTGCCCCCCAAAGATGCCGCAGACCCCCAGGGCCTGTGAGTGTGGCCTACTCCAGAGAGGGGCTTTGAAGACGGTCAGGTAAGGTGATTGGTGTTTCTAGGACCGTGTCCTTATAGTAAGGGGAAGTGGACACAGAGGCAAAGGCGGGAGGGAGTGCTGGGAAGGCACGGGGCGGGAGGGGGAAGCCGGCCATCGGCAGCCAAAGTCACCCAAGGCTCCAGAGACCGGGGACAGAGTCTGTGCCACTGTCCTGCCAACACCCTCTCATCAGACTTCCGGCCCACGAGACACCAGTCCCCTGCCCAGGCCCCAGACTGGGGGATGCTGTCTGGCAGCCCCAGGAAAAGACGGTTTTATTTCCTGCAGTTTGTGCCAAAGCAGCACTGGACACCAGCCACAGGGCCACCCGCGAGCTGTGGGGTCGGCTCTCACACAGAAGAGGCCCCTGTGCCATGCTGGGCTCAGAGGGGCAGAGGCATCCGGGTGGGATGCAGGCCCCTTTCCCTGTCACACGTGTCCACACGTGTGTGCACCGGCAGCTCTGGAGACATATGTAGATGCACACACATGTTCGTGTGTGCGCGTTTATGGGTGCATGTGCAGACATGCATGCGTGCACACATCCACGCTTGTATCCTAGTGTCTGCACAACATGCATGTGTGCACATATACATGCATGCAGACATATGCATGGGCCGTGCACACGTGCGTCTATACACACAGCTACACACACACGTACACCCTGGAGTACGCTGCCCAAGAGGGAGGAGAGGGCACATTACCTGTTTCCTGGGGCACCCCAACATCCCCAGGGGCAAAGTCCGCCGTCTCCTGGCCCTTGACGCAGCACGCCCGGAAGACCAGCCCGCACTGGTAGCCGACCATGAGGCTGTACTCGCAGCTCCGGCCCTGCGCCTGGGCCGCCCTGCCCAGCAGGCAGCAGTGGCAGCACCTCTGCAGACACAGGCGGGCGGGATGGAGAAGCCGGTGGGCACCATGGCTGTGCAGGCCCGAGTCCCACATTCCCCTGCCCGACGGCGAGGACGTGGGCAGCTCAGCTCCCTCTTCTGGGAAAGGGGCCTGAGGCCCTCGCGGGGTCACCAGCGGCTCCCTGGGGCCCGCCCACGGCCACCGGGATGGGCCTGCTCGCCGCACTTCTCCCCGCCAGGGTCAGGGCGATGGGCAGCAAGAAGCGATCTGTGTCCTCAGGGCCTCGAGTCCCCTGGACACCACATTCCCCAAAGTTGCACCCGAATCAGCGTCCACTCTGGCTCTGAGAGGTGTGGCCAGGCCGGGATTTGGCAGCCCGCGCAGTCTACGACCTCGTGCGGCGGGGCGGGAGCGCTGGGCGGCCGTGAGTGCCACTCCGGGTGCAGGCCTTGCTCTGCTAACGTCATAGGTCCCACCCCACGGAAGGTTCCCGTCCCTCTCCCTCAAGTCCAGGGACATGGCAGACCGTGGGCACCGAGTCCTGGGTCCCGGCACCCGACACGCCAGCCCATCCACATCCCGCCCTGAAAGCCCAGAGCGGCCGGGTCGGGGAGGGGCTCTGGACCCCCAGTTCCTCTATGTGATCTCTCTCTCCAGGTCCCGATCTGTGTGGAGGGTGAACCCTCAGGGAGGAACCCCTGCACCCCTCCCAGAATCCGGACTGTGCTCTGCTTCCTGCTCCCTGAAAGCCTCCCCTGCTCTCCTAAGCAGAAACGGGAAATCCTTCCAGGGACCTCACCTCTGTACCCCAGTACCCTGGCGGGAACCCCTGCACAGGTTACCCCTCCAAGCCTGAGCCCTCTGGCTGGGCTGGCAGCCCCGGGAGCCCCGGCACACCCCCACCACAGGCAGCTGCCGGGCTGGAGGCCCTGAAAGACCTGGTCTTTCAGACCAGAGTGACCACATCTGCCCAGGGCACCCCTTCAGAGCCGTCCCCCAGGCCCACGGACCCCACCCTCAGCCGCCCTCCAGGCCCCTCCCCTGCTGGTGCCAGCGGCCACCTTGGAGTGTGGCCTCTCTGAAGCTCTGGAGTGTGGCCACCTAAGCTCCGGCCTCCGACTAGGTCTGAAGAGCAGACACTCGAGGCCCCCCAGGTGGAGTGGGGGCGTCTACCTTGAGAGGGAAGAGCCCACAGAACCCCAGCTCTGACCTCTGAGCCCTGGCTTAAAGCCACGGGGTGGGGGTCCTCAGAGCAAGGCCGAGCCCGCCACGTCTCCCGTGCTGGACTGGCCACCTCCAGAGCCGCCCACTGCACCGGAGGAGACGCCCTCCCCGTGCTGGGTGGGCGCCCGTCTGTGCGGCGGGACAGGGATGGTGGCCCCGGGCAGGGGGTGCGGGGACAGGCCCCGGCTGCCGGCTGGGCGCGGCTGAGTCCTCACCTTCACATACACGGCCTCGAGGCCGGCCTGGCCGCCAGGGGTGGGGTCGCAGCTCTCCTGCTCGCTGGCCAGGTTGATGCCCGTGGCGCAGTGCAGCTCCTCCAGCTGGTTGTGGCAGCACTGCTCCCGGACCATCCTGCGGGAGAGGCCGCGGGTCAAGGTCACAGGCCTTCAGGGGGGATTCGTTGGGGGGACACAGACCCGGGCGCAGCAGCCCCAGGAAGACGGGGGCCCGTGCCGCTGTGCGTCCCCTTTCCACCCACAGACACGGCGTGAGCCACGGCAGCTGCAAGGTGGGGGCCGGCGTCCCCCACGGAGGCCTGGACAGGCACAGCCACGCCCCAGAATATCATTCAGCCTTGAGAACGGAGCTCTGAGCCCGTGGCCACGTGGCTGGACGTGCGGGCATCGCGGGACACGAGCCGGCACAAGAGGGCAAACCCTGGCGAGCTCCTGCGCGAGGCCCCGGAGGAGCCGTGTTCCACGAGGGAGAGGGTCCCTGGGGCCGGGAGGGAAGGAGGGACTCGCGGGCTGAACCCTGCCTGGGCTGTTAGGAACTTGGTCTCGCTCTGAGCCCATGGGAGAGGCTTGGTCTCTGACCGCAGGGATCCCGACCCCCACCTTAGCTGAGCACCAGCACAGCGTGCAGGGGAGGCAGGAGGGGGCAGTGGGCAGCAGGGGGCCAAGGGCTGGGAGTGGTGACTGTCAGTCTGCTGCCCTCGCGCCCGAGGCCCAGCCTTGCCCACAAGCTGCTGGGGCCACGCTGGGGACCAAAGTTCTCCCAACGCTCCCCAGATCTCCCGAAACCCCGTGGAGTCTCCCGGGCAACTCAAACCACCGACCTTCCTGTTCCCCCTTCTCTGTCCGATGATGCTTTGGACTTTCTAAGAATTTCGTAAATTGGGATGTACGTCCCCCGCCGTGCTGGCAGGCAGCGGCGTGTGCTCGACACCCCGCAGCCCCCAGGGGCAGCGTCCCCAGAAGACGAAGGATGTGGGGAGACAGACGCCCGGCTGTGGCGGGCCCGCACACGCACCTGCACTCCCTGGAGCCCGAGGGGTCCGGCTGTGAGCAGTCCCTCTGCTGCGTGGCCATCCGGTGTCCGTCAGCACAGCAGGTCTCCATCGGGACGTCTGCACCCGCTATGCAAGGAGGAGACGGAGGGGCTGGTAGCGGGCGACCCCATTCACCCCACACCAGGTCCCTGTCCCCCAGTCTTCTTGGGGCGGCCAGGACCTCCCTCCCAGCCACGTTTTGTGTCCCAAGGTCCCTGCCCCGGCAGCAGGCCCGAAAGGGCTGTGGCTCCCACAGGGTTCCTTTAGTCGCTCAACACACACGCACTGAGACTGCTGAATGGGGCCGGGAGTGACCCGTCCTCCTTCCTGGAAGGCCTGGGGCCTCCACTACTTCCTCCCAGCTCAGCTCAGCACCCAGGCCCTGTGGAGGCACATGCAGCAACTCCAATGGGCCCTGCCCTGAGGGGTCCTGCCTTCTTGGTCCCGAGGGCAGGAGATACGGGAGTGGCTGACTGAGGCGAGGCTAAGCTGCCGTCCATCTCAGTGGTCAGAGTGTCCAGGACACGCGCTGCCCATCCCACAGGGGGTCAGAGATGGTTTGTGTCCCTGAAGAGCAGGGGTGGGGAGACTGGTGGCTGGGAGGGCTGGTACCCCAACGCGGGCCAGCCAAGGATGGGGAAGACATGCCTGGGGGCCTCGGCTACAACAAGCCACTCGGCTACCAAGAACAGGGGGGTTGGGGCAGCAGGACAGGGGGTTGTTAGGCTGAGGGCCTTGCTGAGGGGCGGCCGGCCAGAGTTGATGGGCTTCTGGTCACGGCCAGCGAGCTGGGTGCCCAGATTAAAGTCAGAGGGCGCTCGGCCTGTGCAGGTGCCTCTGAAATGTGTGGGGCAGCTCCAGGGGCCCCGGGGTGGGAGTGGGGGCAGCCTCGGCCCAGGCAGCGTCTGAGCGCTGCGGCTCACTGTCCGTCTGCACCTCCTGTGAGCGGAGCTTGGACCACCAAACCATGGGGTTCTTGTGAGCGCCCCTGCTTCTGTTCCTCCCAACCCCGAGCCACACGCCTCACACTGCCGTGGCGGCAGCCCCCAGGGCCCCGGGACCCACGAGGAAATCGCATGGCGAGCACCGAGCCTGGGAAACGCGGGGACCGAGGGTGGTGCCGCCCCTTTCCAAAAACCTCACGGTTCCATGTCTTCATTCTGGACCCAGACGATTCGGGCTTCGGTCCCAGCATCCTCACTTTTTAGCACAATTTTTTTTTTTTTTTAAAGAGGCATGTATTTTTATTTATGTATTTATTTATTTGTTTGTTTGTTTGATTATACATGCATTGGGTACAGTCAGAAGCGCGGGAGGGTGAGAGAATTCACCAGAGCCAGAGCGGGGAGCAGAGCAGGCAGAAGGACCGAAGGACACTGCTGAGGGGAGCAGCGGGCGGCAGGAGAGGTCCGCGCGCCATGGGGGACCCTCCTCCGGTGGCCGGGGAGCAGCCGGGGATCGAACCGGCGCCGCAGAGGCCGCGGGCAGCTTCGCAACCCAGCGCTCAACCGCTGCGCCACCGGGGAGGCCCTTTAGCACAATTTTTTAACATTACTTATTTTAGTTTTTTTTTTTTTTTTTGGCAGCAACATCAACAATAGTAAAAGTAGTAACAGATGGCGCTTCTTGAGTGCGTACCCTGCGCCGGGAGCAAAGTTCGGCTCATTTTACTGTCCGGTCATTTACTGTCCGGTCATTTACTGTCCAGAGCTGCGAGGCAGGACTGCACTCTGCGTCACAGACCAAGTGACTGAGAATCAGAGAGGCCAATCACCCGCCCAGGGTCACACAGCCAGAGGAGACAGAGCACGGCCATGAGCCACGGGCTGTAAAGCGTCCTCTACCACACGTCGGAAGGACGCCAAACAGGCCCGGGCGGCGGCAGCCCCGGCGGGGAGCTCAGCCGCTGCAGCCGTGAGGGGCAGGATCCGACCGGCCTTAGAAAACTGGAACGGGAAACACCGCAGGACCCGCACCCCCGCCCTCGGGCATCACCCAGAGAACGCGGAGCCGCCGGCTCGGGAGGCTGCGTGTCCACCGTGGTCACGGCGGCGCCGGTTACAGCAGTGAGGCCACGGGGCCGCCCAGGGGCCCGCGGCGGGGACCAAGGAGACGCACTGTCCACCCCGGGGAGCCGGCTCCCCCCGGGGGAGACCAGACCCGCCCCTACAGCCACGCGGAGGGGCCGCGCGTCAGAGGACAGGAGCGCTGGACACTCAGCCAGCAGACGAGTCCACAAGGCAAGAGACACTAATGAATGAAATGAGGTTTCTGAGGCTAAGGGGGTTGGGGGAGCAGAGAGGGCAGACGGGTTTAAGGGGAGAGAATAAAAAATTAAAAACGGGGCCTCTCCGCTGGCGCAGCGGGTTGAGCGCAGAGCCGTGAAGCTGTCCGCAGCCTCCGCACCGCGGGTTCGATTCCACATGGCGCAGCAGACCCCTCCTGTCTCCCCGCTGCTCCCCTCAGCAGTGTCTTCGGTCCTTCTGCCTGCTCTGCTCCCCGCTCTGGCTCTGGTGAATCCTCTCACCACCCCCACGCCTCTGGCCTGTACCCCAGTGCTTGTATAAATAAATAAATCTTTAAAAAAAAACAAAAACAAAGTCAAGCCCCCTGGGAGCCGCGTGCTCCGTCACCACCGTCTCTCCCTGGCCGAGCACGGAACACAGGAGACAAGATGGCACTGGGTCACGTGAGGGTCGCGTCCCCCTGGACAGCCGTGTCCACCTCACACCAGCCAGGACGGCTGCACCCCCGCCGCGGGCCCCCTCTGGGCTGCGGCCCTTCCCCGCCAGCCGTCGCCTCCGTCGTGCTGGGCGCCCGCCCGCCCCAGTCCCCTGGCAGCCGCGAGGCCCAGCCCGATCCCCCGGCCTGGCGACTGTCTCGGGAACCTGCTCTTGCCCAACGCGTCCCACGCCACACCCGGACACCGCGGAGCGGGCAGGTAAGACGCTCAGCAGCAGAGCCAACTGCGGCTTCGCGAGAAAATAAAGGTGACTGAAAAGTAAAAAAAATAACCACCACCGCGGGCCACACTCTCCCACGGGGCTGCAGCCGGCGGGGCCGGGACAGAGGAGGAGGCGGGGCCTGTGGTCAGCCCACCCGGCTCTGGGCTCCGGCCTCCTGCTCCGGCGCCACCCCCGCCCCCACCGCGGGGACAGGTCAGGTCAGCGCTCGGCCAGAGCTTCCCGCCTGGCCCCCCGGGCTGGGGGCTGAGGACCCGGCGGCGCCTCTCACCTGCTCTGCCTGCTCGCCCCCCCCACCCGCCCTCCCCAGCAGCCGCAGAACCAGGGGAAGCGGCGGCGGCCAGTGGCCATCACCGTGGAGGGTGATCGCCCAGAGCGGGGCAGGGCCGTGGAGCAGAGGGGGGCTAGCCCCAACCCCAGGGAAGGTGGGAGGGCTTTGGAGAGGACGGAGAGGAGCCCTATCCAGCGCCACCTCCCCACCCCCCACTGGGATCCCCGAGCTGCGGGTGGAAGGGGGTGAGAACGGAGCTCCCCGGCGGGGGCCCCACTCTCGCGCAGGGCGTGTGGCCAGGCTGCCAAAGGGGAGCAAGGAAAAAACCTGGCGACACCCACACCTTGCTGGTACCCAGGGTTCCACAGCAAGGGACAGTCCCAGCAACCACCCCAGCCGGCAGTCACAGACCCCAGAGCACCCCAAGGGCAGGACCCGAAGAAATCTCCAGCACGGAGCCCCGTCCCCAGCCGCCAGGCCGGCACAGGCCTCCGGCAGGATCACGTGGCAAGGCCGGGCGCAGAATCCTGCGGGATCAGCAGGCACTTGACCTAAACCATCTCCAGGCCGCCCTCTGCAGATCTCGGCCACCCGCAGCGCCGGGACGCGGGACGGCCAGGACGCTTTCCTGGGCAGAGGCGCCAGGAGCTCTCCCGAGCACACACTCTCAGACCATGGCCAGTCCCGCAATCAAAACCAACCACCCCAGAAACCGTCTCCCCAACTACAGGGGGACACTGCCAGTCCAGGTCCCCTGGGGGACTCCTGAGCCCCACCCTAGAGGCAGGGTCCCAGAGGTCGGGCCACACCAGGCCTCCCCACTGGCACAGGACAGGCTCGTCACCTTGGGTCACCTCCTGTCAGGTCAGCTGGGTGCCCCGCAGGGGCCCAGGCCGTGGCTCCTGATGCTGTGGTCTTCCCCAAATGGGAAAACACCCCTCTTCCTAGGGTGCCTCTCGAGCGCCCTGCTCTCCTGATGGGGTGGAAGTGCCGCCAGCCTGTCTCCACGCCCTCCTGAAGATCAAGGCCAGGCGGTGGAGGGAGCAGGTGCAGGGTCCGCTGGGCCGGGCAAGCACTGAACTCTCTGGGCTTTTGCAGGCTTGTAGCCCCCCCGCCCCCCCGCCCCCCCCCCCACCGCACAGGGCAGAGCTTAACTGGCCTCACCTCTCCAGGCCCAGCTCCCGTCCCAGCTAAGGGCGCTGACCCCGGGAAGGAGGCCTCGTGGGTGTTCCTGCCACCCACACAGTTCCGCAGCCACATCTGGGATCATCACAGGAGACTGGACCCCCCACGGGGTCCGCGAGCTGCTGATCACCCAGTCACTATAACAGAAACCACCAGCCTCCCCGCAGAGCTGTTTTCTTGAAAACCTGACCTGCAGGGGGGGGGGCGCCAGCAGCTCATAGTGCCTGGCCTTTGAAGGGGGGGTGGGGGTGGGGGAGGGGAGCCACCGCAGCCACACCTAGGCACTGGGGGGCAGGACTCCCAGCAGCACCCTGGGCCATGCCCTGCTGCTCCCTCGGCCTGGAACGCCCATCCCCCATCCTCCCGGCCCCACAATCCTAGCTAAGCCCCCTTCTTCACATCCCAGCTGCATGCTGCTCCCTTCGGGAAGTCCTCCTGGCTCCCTGACTGTCAGGTTGGTTTGTAATTATCTGCTCTATTTTCTGGATTGCCCCAGTGGGGAGGTGTGACCCCGTGGGAGGAAGGGCCACTTAAGCGGGCCAGCTGAGGCCCCCCTGGACAACCTTGGCTGCCGGCTCGGGCCTGCCGGGGAAATTCCATAGGAGAGCTTTCAGAGCAACCCTGGGGGACAGATGTGCTCCAGTCCCAGGAAAGGGGCCCACAAGTGACAGTGGCCGAGCTCCCAACACGGGTCTGTGTCCTGCCCCAGCCCCAAGGCGACCAAAGACACCGGCCTCTGCCCTCTCCATTTTGCAGATGTGAAAACCACCAAGCCAGCCGCCCCTGTGCTGCGGGTGGCGTGGAAAGACATCTGCGATACAGAGATGCTCCCCAGCTGCTGGGACCCCAAGAGAGTGAGCCTTGCTCCCCACCCTCCATCATAGTCCAGAGTCTAAGCAGCCCCGGGGTGGGGGCTCGGGCAGTGCCAGAGGGGGGGCAGGGCTACTGGAGAGGCCCCGGCTCTGTCCCTCAGTCTCATTCTCATGCACTGGGAGCTGTAGCAGCCCCTGAGCCTGTCTGCCCTCCCGCCTCCGGCCTGGGAAACTTCCAGAAGAAGCTGCAGCGCGGGCCACATGTCTCCAAGCCAAGTCCTCGCTCGCCTTTGTTCCTCCTCCCTCCCAGCAACTCTCTCTGTAATCAGTCAGAAACCGAGCCAGAGACCAAGAAAGTCTTGGAGAAAACATAAGTGCCTTCCCAACACCCTCCCTTCCCGCCCACCCCAGCTCTCATGCGCCCAAAGGACAGACAGACTCGGGACAGATCCCTTGGCGCGAGATCAGAGCCTTCTGCTCGGGAGCCAGCAGACGAGCTGGCGGGCTCACCCTCCTGTGGCCTTTCCTGTGACTCTTTAATTGCATGCCTCCTGGCGGACCCCGAGACTCTCCGGAGGTGGGGGACAGCGCCACCCCAGCCCGAGAGCCTCAGGGAACCTCGCAGCTTCCAATTTGCATCTGCGGGGAGGAACCAGATAGTCTTCTAACTTCCCCACCCCAAATCTTGCCAGAGTTGTTGAAACTGAGAGAGAGAGCTCCCCAAAAGAAACAAAGGGCCCGGGACACTGCAGATGTTGCAGGACGCAGGCAGCCCCGAGAGTCCTCCCACACTGCTCAAGGCAGAGCCTTCTCCGTGAAGGAGGGTGGCTGCAACCCTCCAGTGAACCTGGAACTCAGCCAAGCAAGTCCTGGGGTTCACGCCAAGCTAGACACTGCCAGCTGCGGGGTCCCTTCCTGCATAAGCGGCAGAGAAGACCAGCAACTCAGGATCCCCGGGGCAGACTCCTGAAAGTTCAACGGCGCCTGCTCTCTGGGCCTCACTGCCCTTGGCTGCAAAATACAGGCGGCTCTGGGGTCCCCCCAATTCCCCACAGGAGTCTTGTGTCGCCCCGCATCGGAGCCCCCTCTGGGCGGCCACTCCAGCAGCATCACCCAAATGTCCCAGGGGCCTGGCCAGCTCCTACCCAAGCCCTGTGACTCCCAGCCGGGCCACCAGGGGTTAAAGTTCTCAGAGCCCCAGGGGGCAGGATGGCCCTGGCAGCCAACACCGAGCCCCATGCCATCCCCACGGGCATGCCCGGGACAGTCAGTGCCCAGAGCAGTCAGGAGGCTCCGGGAAAGTCTGCTGCAGGGGGGAGCCAAGGAGCCGGCAGGGTCTCCCTACCCACCCCACCCCCAAGGCCTCTGCAGGATTAGCCGGGACAGGCGAACTTTTGGCCAAGGGGGGGTCACGGGGAGCTGAAAAGAAACTAAACTAAGCCAGAGATAAAGACCTGCATTCCAAGGGTGGGGGACACTTATCTGGATGAACCCTGGTCAGTGGAGAGGTCAGAGGTTAAGGTTCTGAGCAGCCTCCCGGGCCTCCCCGGGCGGGGCTGGGCCTTGAGGGTTCAGGGAGCCGGAGGCGGGGCCGGCTGTGTGGGCCCTGGGGAGCCCGGGGAGACCCCCGCCCTGGGGAGCCCCGGGGAGACCCCGCGGGTGGGTGGGGGTCAGGTCCCCGCCCGGCCCAGCCCCCTGGGCATGGAGCCGCGGCCAGGCCCGGACCCAGGAGGGCAGGCAGGGCTCGCCCCCGCGAACCCCGGGCATTCCCACCCCTGCCTCCACCCCGGCCCAGACCCCCAGGCTCAGTTCTCCATCAGTTAGCGGGTACCCCATCCCCCACAGAGGGGAGGAAGTGGGGGGGTTCGACCAGATGCGGGGGCGCCCACCGGGCAAGGGTGCGGCCGCGGGCTGGGCACCCCGGCTCCTCCGGGGGCGCTGCGCCCCCAACCGCCCGGCGGGTGGCACCGGCGGCCTCAGGAGGATGTGGGGGGCGGCAGGGGGGGCGGGGGCCCTTCTAGGCAGCCCCAGGTGAGCGCGGGGACCGGCCCGGGCTAAGGGAGGGGTGCAGGCCGGGGCCGTGGGGGCCGAGGCGGGGCGCGCGGGCGGCGGGTCTGGGGGCGGCGGGTCTGGGGGCGCCCCGCGGGGCCCTACCTGGGGCCGCCAGCAGCGCGAGGCCGCCGAGCAGCAGCGGCAGCAGCGGGGCGCGGCGGGGCGCGGGGCGCTCCATGGGGCGGCGGGGCGACAAAGGCGCGGGCTCGGCTCGGGGCGCGGGGTCGGCGGCTCCGGCGGGCGGCGCGGGCTCCGGGTCCCCCCGCTCCGCGGCAGACGCTGGGCCGGGCGCGCGGTTCAATTATCCCGCCCCGAGGGGGGCGCGGCGGGGGCGGGGCCGCGGGCGCCCGGCCCCCCCGCCCGACTCCCCGCCCGGCCCCCCCCCCCCCCCCCCCCCCCCCCCCCCCCCCCCCCCGCTCGGCCCGGCCCGGCCCCCTGCCCGGGCTCCGGGCGCCCCCGCTGGCCCCTCGGCCCGGGTGGGGGCGGCGCGCAGGCGCTCGCTGGGAGTGGGCGAGGCCCCCAAACCTCTCCCTGAAGGGGGGGGAGGTCACACTCGGGGCGACGCGCCTCTCCCCCGGCAGCCCCCCGCGGGCGAAACCCGCCCCGCCCCACCCGCGGCAGGGCGGGCTGGGTCTCGGGTTTTCCTTTGAGCTGGGGAGGGGGGGGGCGCGGGTGACACCGGGGTCCCCAGGGGCGCCTTTTGGGGGGGATCCGGAACCGGATCGAGTCCACCACGGGAGCTCCCGCGGGCCGGGCCTCGTCACAGCCCCAGTCCGGCCCCCGGAGTCCAGGGGTCAGCGGGTGGGGCTGGCCCGGGGGTGTCCCTGGCAGGGCCTGGCCCTGCAGGACTCTGGGGGGCCCAGGAGGGCTCGCAGCGTCCCGGCCGGGGTGGCCGAGGCTGAGGCAGTCTGGGGGAGCCGTGCATACATTTCTTTTTCAAAGAAACCCCCACCTGGCGCAGGTGATGGTGCCATGGCGCAAGACCCATCGCTGAGGTGTGGACCTGATGGGCACGGCCTGGCAGCGGCCTGTAGTGTGCACCCCAAGGCGGGGAGTCGCCTCCCAGGCCGTGAGGTGGGGGGGGGGTTGGAGGGGGGATCCCACCACAGCCCACAGCCTGGGGCACAGCACAAGACTGAAAGGAAGGCGCCCCCACCCCAGAGCCCTACACAGCTGCGAAAAATGAAAGCTTTGTGCTCGGGGCAGCCACAGCTGAACCTCGGCGCACAAAGCCCAGGGCTCGCGAGCCAGGCAGGAGAGAAGGGAGGCAGGAAAGGGAGGAGCCTTCCTGGTGGGGCCGGCCGGGGCCCTCGGGGGCTGGTTAGATGCTTTCTTGATCTTCGTGTTGGTTGCAAGATCGGGTACGTTTGTGAAGATGTTACACATGCAGTTACACATGCCTCCTTCTGAATAAATATTAGATTTAAAAATCAAAAACGAAAAATCATCTCATTTCCTTAGAAGATGTGTCCTCGGTCTGCAGAGAGCCCAGGAAAGCTCGCGAGAGGGGCCTGCTGGCTGACCGCTCCCTAGGCCGAGGCAGCTTCCAAGAAGAGATGGCGGGGGACTGGCCCTTGGAAGATGAGCAGAGGACGGAAGGTTTCCTGGGCAAGGGAACAGCATCTGCAAAGACTGGGGCGCCCTGGAGGCCCTGGGCAGCTCAGATGCCCCGTGAAGGTGGCAGGTTCTGCAGGCGTTGGATCCAGGGTGCGTGGGGAGCCCTGAGCTGAAGACAGATTGGAGACTCATGATTACTCTGCTATCCTGGGGGTTGTTCTCAAGCCACAGGAGAACAAGGGGCCCTGAGAGAGCGAAGAGAACGGGAAAGGCGTGGTGTGAACGTGGCGTTAATGCCCATCCGGATGAGGAGGCTGGAGCCCGCAGCGTGAGGCCCGGGCGGGCGGCGGGGACGTGGGTCCAGGCCCGCTCATCTGAGAGCTGCGTTCTCACCGAATGTATCGCGCCAACATCTCCTGGCTTGGCAGAAATCGTTGCGCGGGTGGGATGGGTGCAGAATGAAGCCGTCCACGCGTCTACGCAAGCGCCCCCTCTATTCATTTGCTGCGGTGAAGCCGGTGCCCGCCAGGCCCCGCTCCCAGTGTAGATGCGCTAGGACATCCTAGAAAAAGACTGGTCCCCACACTGGAGAGAGACCCCAGCCAGGGGACACCCCACTCCGGGCCATCCCACCCCGTTTCAATACACGCTGAATCGCCCCCAGGCTCAAAGCCTCCCGCCCTCTTGTCCTGGTCTCTCTTTCCTTGCAGCATGTTTGACATCACGCGTTTGTCGGCCTCTGTGAGTTCTTTGTGATTTCTTTCCTAACTTTTGTTTATTTATTTTTGAAGTAGGAGAATTCTGAGTCACAGTGAAAATCTAGGGGCAAATGCAGGGTCTTCCCATCCTGCAGGCACACCCCAGAAGCACTGGCAGTGAGGCGCCACCTCACCCCAGTAAAGGGACCCACGATAAAGTGCTCACCCCAACCAGCCGGCTTCCCAGTGTGTGCACAGGTGGCGTTTACGACACGCTGCTGCCTCAGGGTGGGAAACCCCAGCGCGGGAGCATGGTGATGTGTGACCTAGAGATGAAGTAGAAAATGCCTAAGGTTGTGTCGCAACAAAGCCTCAGTACAGACCGAAAGTTCCAGAGAGTGACTGATACACTTTCTCAAGGCCACACACCTGACTTACACCCAGGTCACCGCTGAGAAGCCTGCTTCTGTGCTCCCTGCCTGCTTCAAAGTGCAGCGCGCCCCTGCGTAGGCAATGCCCTGTTACCTAATTGCTCAGGGCCCAGGCTTTGGAGAAGCATCTCTGGGCCTGCGGGCGGGCGTAGATAAAGATCTTCCCTCCTCCTCTCTGAGCGCTCCTGGTTTCCTAATGGGATCTGCCCTACCAGAGACAGGGGCCAGCACTTGCTCTGTGGTCCCCAACCTTCCACTAAGGAAAAATGCAATAGGGGCCTCCCTCGTGGCCCAATGTGTTAGTTAAGTCGCAGCACCGTGAAGCTATCGGCAGCCACTGCGGCCAGGGAGTGACCCACACGGCAGACCTCTCCCGTCTCCCCGCTGCTCCCTCAGCAGTGGATTTCCGTAGATCTGCCTGTTCTGCTCCCCACTGTGTCTTTGGTGAGTCCTCTTGCCCCCGCACCTCTGGCCTGCACCCCAGTTCTTGTATGCATAAGTAAATAAATCTTAAATTAAAAAAATGCAATACCCATGGAGCAAATGCAGTCAGAGTGCAGGAGAAGGGGCCGGCCTGCGTCTAGCGCGACCACATGGATCTGCAGGGACGCAGCAAAATATGACATCTCGCTGAGAAGCAGCAAAGGAGGCCGGAGCAGAAGCACAGGCCCAGAGATGGAAGGAACTCGGGGAGGTGGCAGTGACGTCTGACCAGTGAAAATTTTATTTTAATTTTTTTAGGAAACCATTGGGGGAGAAGGAATCGTTGAGCTGGAAACCTAGAGTGATACACTCCCTGCTCCCAGACGTGACCCCGAGTTTCTTAGTAACTAAAGCAAACATCAAATTATGATCGTTTACACAATCCTGCTTTCGGAACAAAGAGAGTTTAAGGTTTTATCGGGAGAGACAAAAGCTTTCATGCCTTTCTGGCAAGAATCCCACTCATTTTCCCTCTGGGTCTTTATGTAAGAGGCCAAGGCTTGAGGAGCGGCTTGTTTGCTTGTAGTGTGCAGACAATGCCACTGGAATTCTGAGAGGTTCCATCTGGGGATTGCGGAACTGGCTTCCCATCTGGGGTTCCATCTGGGGAGGCCCCTCTCCGTCTGACCCCCGGGTCCGGGGCAGGAGGACACACGCCCCTCGGATTCCCTCCAAGCAGGAAATCATTCATTATGTCCATCCAGAGAGCGCAACTGGCCCGTGTCCCCAAAACAGCTAGCTCTCCTTTGTTGGAGAGGTCACTGCTGGCCCCCTTGGGCTGTTTGTCTCCAAGTCAGAAAAAAAAATGGCCTTGACACTGTCCAGGCTCCAGAAGACAGGCTTCTTGGTTCTTGCTTGTGGTGCCACCCACCCTCAGGGGCTTTCTGAGGACAGTGGCTGCCCCCACCCCTGCCCTTGCTACCCCTCCAGGCACACCTAGGCCCCACACCCCTCCCTCACCGGCCTTTGCACCCTCCCCTCCTCGCGGCCTCTGTGCTCAGCCCACTTTCCCAGCCCTGCACGGCTGCGGCAGGATGACTGGGTTCCTTCCCTCTTCATCCTCCTGCATTCTTTGCTGGAGGGTGATTTTTCAGTCCACCCACTGAGGGCCAGGGCTCTGAGCTCCCTGAGGGCCAGGGTGAGGCTGCACTTCCTGGGTGCTCAGTAGATCCCCGCTGAGTGCAGCAGTGGGGCAAGTGCAACTCAGTTCCCCGCACCTGGCAGTGCCACGGTGTCCCCCACAGCACCCCCACTGAGATGGCCCATCCCCTTCCATGAGATAGTGGAGGAGACCACGGTTTAGGGAGCTGGCAGAACTGGGGCACCTCCAGCCCCAGAGCCAGCCCTGAACTGCCATCCGCACACTCCAGTTCTGGGCCCACTCACAGTCCCCGGCCCCTCCTCAGCCACAGCCTGTGATGGCGTCAGAACCCCTGGCCCCTGGTCGGGCACCGAGCCCAAGTGGGCACATGGTCGGCTGGTGGTTCTCACAGCCCAGTGGGCAGGGAGGGGCCGTTTAAGAGACACAGCAGATGCCGGGGTGGGAGTCCCCGTGGCTCTGCTCAGGGCTCTGCTCCCTGTGGCGGAGGCGCCTCTGCCCAGGACACAGGCCTGTGGCATCGGCACAGCTCCGAGTGGCAGCCCTTCCTTCCAGCCCCCGACTTGCCCTACTAGGCTGCCACTTGTCCTTGCCGCCTGCGGTCCCGGGAGCTGTGATGCTGGTGGCACCGCTGGGGCCCAGCCAGCCCCGCTCCGCTCCTCCACGCCCGCGCCCAGGACAGCAGGGCATCAGACGTGGGCATCCTCCGGGCCACCCTCCCTGTTCCTGGGGCTGCCTCCCCTCCCAGTGGTCCCTCACTCCCCCAGAGCCACGGAAAGGCAGGGCCGGGACACCTCACAGAGCCTGCCCAACAGAAGCTTCCAGAGCCAAGCGGCCCGGAGCAAGGGCAGCGTCTGCGCCCCAGAACGGGCCCCAACTTTATCTTTAGTTCCGTTTCAACCTCGACACAAAATG